CCTCTGGTTTCCAAGCCAAGTCCCCTCAGACTGAGCTACTGCCGGCCGTGCAGACAAGCACGTGGTCATGGCTGCCCAGATCCACACTGGGCACCAGCTGTCTCCTCAGGGCGCTACATGAGAGCCAGCAGGCCCTCAAGGAGAAAGAGAAGTGGATCAAGTGCACAAGGGCAGGATTTTTTCTTCTGGAGAAAAAGTCCAATCAATGCCCTTATCTTGATCCAGTCGGACAGAGAGTAGAGAAAAAGATTCTTCCTAATTTTACAATCAATATGGCCTGGGTCATGCATTTTAACCCTTTCTATAACCCACCAGTGGATGACACCTTTTCAAAATCCAGTTTTCCACCAGTAAAATAGATCAGAAATCATCTTTAAAGTACTGCCTGTCCATTTTGTAGAGAATATAAATTGCACCATAGTCAAGAACAGCCGAACAGAAAAAAGTGTTGAGAACAAATATGAAAGCTGTCATTTTCTGTCCGTTCTACGTCCACACTTGTTCTTTTAAACTCATTATTTTCTGTTCTCATTTTTCCAGCAGGTTTAACACAAAAACAAACCATCTGTCTCTCCAGGGCATCATGTAGACACACACACACACACTGTTGAATGCCTTCAGTGATGAAGCAGTATGTAGGAAGCCTCTGAGAAACAGAATGGTCACGTACTGCTGACGGTGTGTGTGAACGTGTAACTGCTGTGTGTGTATTTATGTGCAGCACCTTTGTAAGGACATGTAAGCGTAATGGTCAATGTGGTGAATATAATTCAATGAGAACTGCTCAATGGAAGTTGATTTCCTGTGAACTGGTAATGATGCTCGAGGCACTGCTGTTTGCAGGATGTTTACACAGTTTGTGCATCTGAGTGTGTTCTTCAAGCTCAAAGAAGGAGACAATTCTGTTTATATAAGTTAAATACATAAACTAGGTGGAGGGCAAAGCCTTGTTTGTGTGCGTGTGTGTGTGTGCGCATTTTAAATAATAAGTTTCGCCCCACTGATCTGACTGTCAGTGTGATTGAGGTGGCGCCCGTTCGCCTCTTGTCTGTTTCATAACTGCAAGAATCACTGAAGCGTGTGCGTGTGTGTGTGTGAAACAGGGTAGTTGTCAGAATGGATGTCTCAGTCATTTTATGAATAAGAACACATATTTCCATCTCTGCTCTCTGTGTATGCAGGTGTGTGTGGATGTGTATGATGCTAGAATGAACAAGCTTCCTTATTTCTCCCACCGTGTTCAGTGGCACATTATCCACGCTGATACACACTGTTCACACTGACGAGGAATAAAGACAATAAGCAATGACAGCTGTGTGTATCTTTTGTCAATATACATTACAGCACACTGTAATCCACGATGAAGCCAGTAATGCATGCTGTAGCTCGGCTGTCACTGTTCTCTGACCAAACAACAAATCGAATTATTGAAAAAACGACCAACAGAATAATTAATAAAGAAAATAATCGTTAGTCGCAGCCCTAGTGTGGATAAAATCCTCTTACATGTATATACAACATTATAGTGCAAAATTGATATATATTGTAATTTGGTTTCTGCGGAGAAACTTTATGGATACAAAAACCAGATAGGAAAAAAAATCCACTTTTATGAAATGACAAAACAGCCTCGTTCATTGATTTGCAACACATGCCCACGCTGGCCTTGTACACGCAGATATAAAATGAATAGCTACCATGTAAAATTATATTGTTATATTGTCTAATTGAATGTGGGAGAGAATGGATTATTAACTAATGACAAAAACTACAATAAGTGTTAAATGTGTCAAATAAAGACCCTCCATAGCCACACACACTCTTCAAAACATAATCACAAAGTTAATTCACACTGGATCCTTTATGACTGTGTTTATGTAAGCACAGCACTAACCCTATTGGCAGTCTTTGGGGGAATAAATACGGTCAAAGGAGGGTTTAGTTTTTAATCTAAATTTAGTCAACCCATACATTTGTTTGCAAAGATTTTCATAACATTTAGTGATGGTTCCTTGGAACACTGCAAGAACTACAAATTCATGTTTTCTTAAGGTTAAATAGAGGTTACAGGTGAGCTCTACAGTGATGAAGAAAGCACTTACCTGACCACAGAGACCTTGCTTTCAGTCTCCATGTCACTGATTAAGTCCTTTAGTAGGGCCTCCTCTAGTGGTGAATTTCTTTTACAGCGCTTTGACTGCGGCTCAGAAACAGAGGGGATCTGCTGTGCAACCTTTTTCACCTGGAACACACAGCAGTGCACTACTGTGTATGATACAGCATCAACTATATCATCTGTACACAGCCGAGGGTGTACAATATAAAACAATGCAATACAACAGCCCTGCAACCAACGGCACCTTTGATAAGCTGGTAATGTTCAGTTCTCATTGATGCTGTCAGAGAGGTGTTGATTGGAATAATAATTGTCTGGCACCTCCTTCTGGTGTGTTATTGTATTGCACAGTGTTATACTATAAGGTGTACATTGTATTTATCTTTATACAACTCTGAACATAAATAGTACACACAAGGCAAGGCAAATATGTTTGGTACACATACAGTATAATGCAACTCTGAGTTGAGAAAGGACACTGATTGTGTAACAGAACAACAACTCACTGGGCTCAACTTCTCCTCTGGGTGATTTCCTGAAAAAAAGATAAATACATGAAAGAGCTCATCATGCTGGAGTAGTAGCAGCTTGTGTTTACTTGTGTGAGATTCACAGTGTCTGTTCTTTATCTCACAGCCAGTGCTCGCTAACAGGACTGTTTATGCTTCACAGGCTTGACCACTCTTTCATACAGGAAACCACGTCTGCATGTACAGCTAATCTGGATGAGCTTATTTTCACTTTTGTGACTTCCCTTCCTGGATTTCTGCCTTTTAACATTAAACAAACCACTGGATCAGTTTAGTAAGAATAATACAGTATGTGTCACTCTTACTGTTGAACAAATATCTTTCTTGATGAGGACAATCACTAATGTGCAAGTTATGCATGTCTTTGTGCTGATAACATGTACTTCTTTGCAGGGAGGGTGTATTCTGTAAACACTCTATCATCAACTGGATAAGCTGTGAGTTTTGTTCGTCCTCACCATTCTGCATGTTTTTCTCCAGGTAGAGGATAAGAGTAAACGGATAGCGTTTTAAATTCTTCTCATAATGTTGGCACATCACTTTAGACACTCCATCCCAGTTCTTCTTATCTGGTAGTTACAGTTAATAAAATACAGTCAATTTGTAGTGAATAAGCATTTAGTAAGTAAATAACTGTATTCTTTGATCCATATTTAAAGATAATACACATATATAGCTGCTACAGTACCATATACTTAAAGCACCAGCATGCACTATGTCTTATTCCCTGTTATTCTTAACAGTTTGCTACATGAAACACAGACACACAACCAAAATCTCACATAATATGTACTGTTGGTGAGATAAAGTGACAGACATGCACATGTATAACAGTAACAAAGGCCGGGAGTGTGGTGGAGAGGTATACAGTGCTGATGTATGGAGATGAATGGTGACCAGTGCACCAGCTGCAAAGGATACAAGGGAAGACACTGAAGTGGGTACTTGAGAACGGTTGCAGGCTGTCCAGGTTTCCCAGAACAGCTCTGATAATTTCCTGAAAACAGATAAGAACAGAAAGAGAGAGTTAACGAGTAATTTTGCTTTGAAAATAGACAATTCATTTTAAGAAGAATAGTGTGGATGACAGTGAGTCACAACCACTGACAGTATATATGCTCACAACACAACAAATGTGAATGCTGACAGAGGCTAACAGTATCCAGAATTACCTCCAGTTCCTGATTGAAGCCGTTTCCTCCCAAATCCTCCTCTCCACTGATGAAATATGTCATACACATTACAGTATATGTATGATCACAACACATTTGTATCTTAAAATATGTTGTTATACAGTATTAGTAGTTTTTCAAACGCTGTAAAGCTGATTATTACAGTATAAGGCTTTATATATGTCAGTGAAGGCCTTTTGTTATGTACAGGCATTATAAGGCTTCGACATAGAAGATCTAACACTGGAATGCTTCTGAGCCTCGAGTGTATTGTATATAAAATATTACGTATAGTTAAAATAAAAAGAGTTGCGAGGAAACGCGGCTTTAGGGCATTCAAGGATCAGTTAGGATTCTTGTTCTAGGACGTTATCCCCGAATAAAGGCAGACAGGTCCAGTGGGACCTTGGATCCTCTTGTTTTCAGGATGAAAGGAAATGTCAAGACAAGCTTAGGTAACACACATCAGAACATATAACGGTAGCCATTACAGGCAGTAGCGTTAGAAGAATGGAGTTAAGATAGAGAAAAAAGATCAATGTTTCCTCTCTTGCCTGAAGCGCAGCGGTCTCAACAACTGCTTTTGAGATTGAGGAACATTTTGCAAAGCTTTGAAGAATTGAATCTTGAGGAGAAAAAGGGGAGAACGGAAGGAAGATGGGACATCACATCGATCTAACTATATTTGTCTGAAGGGTTTTGAGCTTGTTTAATCCAGAGCCTCGTCTCTGTGTCAAGTTTGCCTTGAAAATATTTTCCCTCAAGCAATTTTTGATCTTGTATGATTTTCCCTTTTCACTCAGGCTTGTCCACAGGTACAAAGCACAACCAGTTAAATGATTTAATTCCTGGTTATATACTGTAATCTCCAGTGGTGTTACTGGAATATGCCGATCTTGAGAAAGACCACCAGGATGTGCAACTAGAGCTACTTTACAATACTGGGATGGTCCGGCTCAGCCTCCAGTTAAACAGCTAGACTGTAGTGTCTGGGGATGTGTCAGTGGTCTCATCTTGCTTTTATATTATACTTCTTCTGCTCGCCAAAAGGGAGGACAATGGGGGAAGGACTAGATATGAAGTGTAAATATGGGGCTGTTAAGAACAATGTCTGCCTTGCCTGTAGCTGCTGCCTCCTCTGATCTTGAACTTGTAGATAAAATTACCAGCTTTGATGAACCGACTTTCAGGGAAAGGGAAGGAGAAGGGCTGCAGTGGCATGGCTGACCTACAGTGGTTGGGGCAATAAATCAGGACATAAACATTGATAATACAGAATATCCGTCAACATACATGAAAATGTTGAATTGGTTTGGCCAGTTAGCTAATATGCTAACTGCCTTTAGTCTCACAAAAACTCAGAAACTACTCTCTCCCTCTCTCTCCCTCTCTCTAACTCCCCCGCTCTTAAAATTACCGTAATGTCTACAGAAAATGTCGAGCATGAACTTTGTAGGTCGCCCAGCAACAGACCTTCACTCTGCAACAGTGCGCCAACGGTTAAAGCCCTGACTGTCAATCAAACGCTTCACTCGCCTCGACATTCGCCGGACTGGGACAATTCCCGCCTTCCGGTCTCTTGTCCCTTCGTGATTGGCCAGACCTTCTTCCAATCAGCGGCGTCAGAGCAGGTGTCACTATGGTGCCGGCAAAAACCGCCCAAACTGTCACATGACAGCCAGCGGACCACGTGTAACAGGAATGGGGCGGTTGTAAACATTTCTCTCCCTGTGCAACGCTTCAAGTTAGAAGTAGGTTTGTGTTTGTCTTCTGGACTCGTGGCATTCCCTTTCATTTACATTTCCCCTTTGTGTGTGTGACTAGGCGGCAGGTTGTTGACACTTTTAATTTTTTTTAATCAATAATTCAAGTGAAGGGGCCCAAAAGGTGAGTTGAAAATATGTATTACCGGATTCACTGGTTTGCCCACGTGGTTCTCTAGACTGATACTGTGACGTTTCTATGTCTTGATGAATCCTACGTCATCACAGCTATGCCCGTCCAAAGGTCTAACAATGAATGGTTGTTCTCACATTGTCATAGTAACAGTGCTACACACGGCGTTGTGATGTGCACACTGTTGTGAAACTGCACGAGTGTAGCTTCCTTGTAACAATGTGTGTATGTCGTCATGGCGTTACACCGTTAACACTGCCGCGTGCAGCTGCACTGTGACGTTATAGCGCTTTAACTCTGCGTCATTGTAACAGTGTGTGTACGGCCAACGTTCCATGTCTGTTCTCCCTTAACGCTACATTTGGATGTTCCAGCGTTCTGAAGGAGTGTGTGTTCGGTTTCACTGCATTGTGACGTCTCTTAGCATCATTGTGACACAGTTTGCACTCACAGCTACTGACCTCTCATCCTCTTAACCATGCAACATTGTAGCACCATGTGGACAGGGTTCCATAATTGAAAACCTGCAGAAATAAATGTGCCCTGCCCACTTCTCCACTTAGCACAGCACCAGTCCCAATACAACTGTTAATGTTTACTAATTAAAGCTGCAGTACATATCTTTTATAAAAAATAAAGTGTTGTCATTATTGCTGAAATTGTCTGTAGTAGTCTGACAGTAGTACTTGAGACACATAATCTTTGAAAAATCAGCTGACTCTGGCTTGTTCTAGCACCCCTTATGGCCTTTGCAAGAATCCAACGGGCCTGATTTAAAACAACCGATCAAAGCTGAGAAATATAAGATGTTTTGGTTTGGAAGCTTGAATATAGTTGATAATCAGATAATTACCCATCTTTCTGCTTCGTTCGGGCCCGGTGGATTTTTGCAAATGCCATTAGGAGCAGGATACAGTGAAAGGTTCAGCAGATATGACAAAAAGTGAATTTTCTAAAAATGACCTCCTGCAGCTTTAAGAAATGCTGTCATTTATTTGTCACTCGACTCTCTCTCCCTCTTTAACAGTGTTGTTGGATAGACCAAATAGTCCAAACCGGTGATAAAGAAGCAGTCCCTTTCAGATCAGATGTCCTCCTCCTCCACTACCCCGTCTGTCCTCCTTAACACGGGGGCTCAGATGCCCCTGGTGGGTTTGGGGACCTATAAGTTGCGGGGTCTTGAAGATGTCTACCGGGCCGTGGATGCAGCGCTGGTTGCTGGTTATCGGGCCTTTGACAGTGCAGCCGTCTACCGGAATGAAGCCGACTTGGGCCGAGCCCTGAAGGAGCTCCTGCCCAAACATGGCTTAACCAGAGAGGATGTATTCATAACCAGGTAGTGTATATACACTTCCCAAAAGAACACAGCATGTCAGTGAGATCTCTTGGGTATTATAGTTAATAAGAATCTTTAGTTACAGCAGTGTTATGAACATGCACGTGATCTTTAATACAGCTGGAAGAAACATATTCACCACATCACATGATCTTTCTCTCTCTCTCAGAGACCATATAACTGAAGCTCAGTGAAGTTTGACTCTCAAAGGCACAGTGTACAAATCTCATCATTCTCTCTGCAGTAAGCTGGGCCCCAAGGATCAGGGTGAGGGGGCCATGGAAGGAGCCTTGCACAGCTTATCTCAGCTGGACTTGGGTTACATTGACCTCTATCTGATCCACTGGCCGGGCACACAGGGGCTGGTAGTGGCTGACCAACGCAACCCAGGTAAAGAGTTCAGATCGAGTCAGTGTTTTCCTTCATGTACCAAAATATCACCAGAAACATAACAGTGTATGTGTGTACATTTCTGTTAAAAATGGAAGTGCTTGAAGTAGCTCTGTGCTTTGGCTAGGTGTATCAAGTGTTTTATAAATAAATGCTCTAATTAAGAGATCAAGATTCAAGCCGTCTTCTCAGTTTCCTCCTCCACAATGTAGCTGTACTTGAGTAACACTGATGATGAAATTCTAATTAATATTTGATTCCAGGCAACCGAGCCCAGAGCTGGGCCACACTAGAGGAGCTGCATGCCCAGGGGAAGCTGAAGGCCATAGGAGTGTCCAACTACACACCAGGACACATGAGAGAACTGATGCAGAGCTGCAAAATCCCTCCTGCGGTGCTGCAGGTAGAATGCATGAGAGTGAAAAGGAGGACAGAATGTACTGTACATAATAGTACACAAACGCATAAACAATGCAGACTGTGTTTTAATTTCAGGTAGAGTTTCACCCAAGGCTGTGCCAGACGGAGCTGAGGAGTGTGTGCGACGAGTACGGGGTGTGTTTTCAAGCCTACTCCTCCTTAGGGAAAGGAGAGCTGGTTGCCGACCCCGTGGTCATGGAGGTGGCAAAGAACTGTGAACGCACACCCGCACAGGTAAACACACTCACACAAAGCATCTTGATAAACATCTTTTTGGCCCAGCCTCACCCAAACACTTAGGTCTTTTGTCCCCCTCCAGGTCCTGTTGCGCTGGGCCGTGCAGCAGGGCGTCCTAGTACTCCCCAAGTCGTCAAACCCAGACAGAATAACGGACAATGCCAGGCTTTTTGACTTCACACTGAGTGACACAGACATGGACAGACTGTCAGCTTTGGACTGTGGGCACAAGTACTGCTGGGATCCATCAGAAGTGGCCTGATAGACGACTGGGGGGACAAATACTGTCTTCCATGATGCCTCTTTAATGCTGCTGTTATACAGTTCTGGCTGGCAGTAATTCATTGGTGGGAAATTGGATTTTAGACGGACTACTAAATTGATAGGTTGTCAGCAGATTTCACATAATTCACATTCTCAAAATGCATTGAGCTAATGTATTGAGGATTTAGGTGAATGAGATATCTGACAGCA